AGCTACCAGGTGAATCCAAGGGGATTCACAAGGGTTTAGGGTTTAGGGTTCACGGTTTAGGGTTTAGGGTTTAGGGTTCAGGGTTCAGGGTTCAGGGTTCAGGGTTCAGGGTTTAGGGTTATCGTCAGTTGTAGAACGCCTAAAAACTCTCAGAAGAAGCTTTCCGCAAACCCTTACAACAAATCCTAGACCCTAAACTCTTAGGTGTTTACCGGAATGCTATCGTTTCTATTACAGATCAGTGCTCTATGAGGCTGAACAGGAACCCAGTTAGGATCTCGACTTTAGCGTGGGAGTAGCTCAAATCTCCCGCCTTGGGGCTTAGGGGTTTAGGGTTTAGGGGTTTAGGGGTTTGGGGTGTAGGGTTTAGCGTCGCCTTGTTTGTTAATGTAGAAGCCAGCCACGAGTTCAATTTTGACGGCGTGAGAAACAAGACGGGTTCATCGCGCCCTCCGGATACCTCTGGCGACGAGTTGCGCGACATGTCAGTGGGACAAAGGGAAGCCGACATTGAGCGGAATCAGGGCATCCGGAAGAGAGAAGCTACAGAGCGAGAGGACGCCGAGAGAGACGCTGCTTCAGCAATGCCAACCACTCAGTGTACGGTTGAGCCCCTTGTCTCAAGATGTGTTCCCTCTACTGAGAGAAGCTGGGTGAGGTCACTTGAGAACAGTATGCCCTGGTAGCTAGGGTCGTCAATCAAGCCTAGATTGATCGCACTCCAGAAGCAAAGGCTACCACAGACAAGGTGTCGCAAAGTCTTGTCGACAAGTCCTGTTGGTTGCATGAGGATAAACCCTAAACCCTAAACCCAATAACTCGCAAGGCCTAGGCTAAGTCAGGCGCCCAGAAACAGGACAGCACACCACGATCTTGCTCCTACTTTACAGATCCACACCTAATTGGGGACGCCTCCCAACCTACAAGCCTGCTCCCAGTTCCTGTGCCAGCCTCGTCACACGAAGGAGCATGCTGCTATGTCGCCCTGACCGCCAAATCCTGAACCTTGATTAAAGGAAACTACAGGTGGGGAGTATAGGGTATATAGGGCTTCTAAAAGGCTTCTGTAAGGTATATAGTATATAGACCTTCTATAAGGCTCCTATAACGGTAACTACCCACCTGAAAATGTCCTAGACTTAAAACCCCAAACCCTAAACCCTAAGAGCTTAACCAACAGTTCCTACCTTAAATCCAAGGTTAGAAGTATGGGCCCCTAATATGGGCCCTGAATGGGGGGTTCTAGGGTCCCTGAAGGGCACATATATAGTAGGTATATAAGGGTCCCAGGGTTAAGGGCCCATCAGGGGCCCATGCTTTCCAACCTTAGATTAGACCGAAGGTACATTGAGACCAAAGCCTTTTAGAAACCTCATCTTAAGGTTGCGTCTCTCGGCATTGCGGTCGCTGGCAGCGCTGGTCAGGTGCATCTTCGAATGAGCATGCAGGGTTTGTGGCGCAGGAGCGAAGGTGTTACGTTTGCCGGGATATGGTTGCGGGTGTTCAGGGTTCAGGGTTCAGGATGTTCTTAACGTTTGCGGAAATGCAGCTGCAGCATGTTTAGCAATAGACCTTCTGGAAGTATGTAGTCAGGGATGTTGGCAAGACCATTTCGAACGATTCGACTTCCTACACAACTGCCTTCGGGTTTACAGTTCCTGGGTTCTGTTTTCAGGCAGAATTTTGTGTGTTGCAGTTTCCCATGCTTGACTTGGCGTCCTTCTGGTTGGCTCTTGGGACTTTAGCTTTTCAGATCTGGGTTTCTATGTGAAGTATAACCAGTAGGCTAAAAGTTTAACCTTCAGGAGGTGTTCAGAAGTCAGCCAAGTTTAGGACCCAAAACAGCTTGAATCTGGGTTTTAGGGCTGGGGATTTATGGGCTTAGCAGGGTGCCTTCAAATTTAGGGCCAAGAATTTAAACATGGTGGGTGCCCACAAAACCCTACACCCTAAACCATCGAACCCCTAAACCCTCAACCCTAAACCCTAAACCCTAAACCCTAAACCCTAAACCCTCCAACCCCGAAGCCCCTGAACCCCTAAACCCCTCTCCCCTAAACCCCTAAAGTCTGAAAGTCCTGGATCTTCAGAGGGGCTGCTATCCTTGGTTTAGGGTTTAGGGTTTAGGGTTTAGGGTTTAGGGTTTACGGGGAGGGGAAAAAAACGTGTAAGTATCGTCGCTATAGTATATCTACCTATAGCCTAAGGGTCCAGGTACCTTATAATCGTATGCTCTCCCGAATATTAATTAGCTTCGATAATAACTATCCGTAACCAAAGTATCTGATGTTTTTGTTCTTTTTGGACGCTTAGGGATAGCCCTACAAACCAAGTCCCCAGAGCCCCCAAGTAGAGGTCTGAATCTGGAAGAACAGCGCCCCCCTCTTATTCCCGATCTACTGTAGAACCTTAAACCTTAAACCCTAAACCCTAAAAACCCTAAACCCTGAAAACCCTAAAAACCCTAAACCCTAAACCCTAAACCCTAAACCCTAAACCCTAAACCCTAAACCCAAACCCTAGACCCTAAACCCTAAACCCTCACATGCCCTTCAGCTCCCGAGGCACCCCTTTAGGGTTTAGGGCAGTTTCGGGTTTAGGATGGCTCAGGGTTTTGGGCCGAAGCCCACTGCCCTACGCCCCTCGGCCCGAAAACCGAAAATTGAAGCTCTGAACATCCACTGAAGAAGTCCAACGCAATCCTGAAAGTGTCCATAAAGAGCCCCCGCCAAGATTACACTCCGCACAAAAGCTTCAAAAGCCTCGAGGGAACCGTACAGACTGATCGCCCTAAACCCTAAACCCCAAAGCCCAGTAACCGGCTGTTTGCCTTTGCAGGCAAAAGGGCCCGGAGGTTTGCGGTGCCTCGGATCTAACCAGTACGGTTTAGGGTTTAGGGTTTAGGGTTCGGGGTTCTCTAAGGATTCTTTTGGGGTTCTTTAAGTGCCTTTTGTGGGTGGGGGGGTTGGTTCCGTATTCTTGAAGGGTTCAGGGTTTAGGCTCTACTTTGCGATCCTGTTGAAGGTCTTGGGGTTTGAGGGGTTCAGTGCGTTGCTTATGTATTAGCATGGGGAGGGTGTAAACCTCCAGGCCAAAAACGACTGGGCTTTGGAGTACCATACTTTAATACTTTTTTGGGGCCCTGTTCCTGAAAGGAATCATTAAAAAATACAGAGTCTGTATTTTTTTCTCCCTGATTACTTCAAAGCCCAGATGAAGAATGACTCTGAACTTGCCGATTCTTGTTCGCGTCCCACTGATGGATCCTACACCCAAAACCCTAAGCCATGCTTGGAGTTTTTTACAACCAGGGATTTCTTAGCAAGGTCCCGTGCATTTCCCCGTAGCCCGCATGTTCCCCAAACCCCGGCACCCAACCTCTTCAAGGATTCAACTCCCTAAGCCCTCAACCCTAATTTTAAGGTTTAGGGGCTTAGGGTATAGAGGTTTAGGGGTTTAGAGTTTAGGGTCTAAGCCCTGAGCCCTGAGCCCTAAACCCTACGCTAAACGGCCATGTCGCATAGCTTCCTTCCTACAGGCTGCGGCAGTGCATTAGTCGGGAGCATTAAGAATTGCCGGTACTATTTTGGGGGGTCCCTCATTACAAGTATAGTATACGTATAGTATGATATATAATACACCAAAACCCTTTTCTAATTATAAAGGCCTCCAACGAGTATAGTATAATATACCCCAAAACCCTATTCTAGCTATTAAGGCCTCTACAATCTTCGGGGGATGGTCGAGTCCTTGACCAAACTGTTCTCTCAGCGATTCAGCCCTGGGTTTAGGGTTTAGGGTTTAGGGTTTAGGGTTTAGGGTTTAGGGTTTAGGGGTTTAGGGTTTAGGGTTTAGGGTTTTTAGGGTTTAGTGTTCAGGGTTTGCTGATTCAGCCCTGCAAGCCCAAGACCGAGACCCGATGAACTGTTCCGTAAATTAACCCTAAACTGTAAACGCTAAACTAACCTAAACCCTAGACCCTAAACCCTAAACTAACAAAAACCGTAAAACGTAAATAAACCTAAACCCTAAACCCGAAGCCTTAGAGGGAGCTTTAAGGTGACTTAAGACCCTCACTAAACCCTAAACCCCTAGACCCGGCACAGCGAGCTCTCCGGGCAAATTTGAAGAGTTTTGGGTTTAGGGCATTTAGGGAAATTTAGGTTTTAGGGTTTGCGGGGGCTGTGACAAGGCTGGTTGGCTGATTGCTGCCGGCCAGGATCGGAAGCACGGGTTTCAGGGTTTATGGGCTGAGGGTTTACGGTGCAGGGGCTTGGGGCTTTTGGGCTTAGGGTTTCGATTGCATGTCTGAAAAATTAACAGCACATAATACATGTGGGCAGTATGATATATTACCCTTACAGTACCTTGCAGCAGCTCTTATGATGACCCTTCTCGGAACCCTAAACCCTAAACCCTAAACCCTAAACCCTAAACCCTAAAGGCTCAAGCCCTAAACCCTTTGGCTCAAGGTCTGGGATTGTCTTGCCTTTCAGGGGGTGCTGTGCGGCGTTTGTCTCTTGTTCGACGAGGGCGTGATCCGCGGCAGGTTGACGGAGCTGGCGGGTCCTGAAGTCCTAGAGGTTCCTCGAGGGTGCGAGCCTCCGCAAGGGCATGGCTGGGATGAGTAAGAGGCAGATCGATCTTGCATCGAAGACCTCGGTCCCGGAGGACCAGGGGGACCTTAGTGCTCAGAAGGCACCGCGCAAGGAAGCTGCGGATGGAGGCTGCGGGATTACCGCCGGTGAGCTTCAGGCCATGATGGCGCAGCAGACGGCTCAGCTCATGCATGCACAGGAGTCCGCCCTCTCCAAGGCGGTGACCAGGTTTGAGGGCATTGTGGAGGAGCGGATTGGGCGAACGGATTGCAAGGTCGCTGAAATGGAGAAAAAGATGGGGGAGCTGGAGCAGAAAGTCTTGCACCTCCTTGAAGGTGGACCGGTGCAGCAAGACAACCGAGGAGGCACGGATGACCAAGCAAGACGGGCCAGGACTCTTATCTTCGGAGGGTGGAATCGCGATACTCGCAGGGCGGAACTGTTGGCAGAGCTCAAGTCGGCACTCGAGTCCTTGGGGGTCCAGAACATGATGGACACCGCTCCCTTTACCACTGGAGTACGGCGCAGCATGGCCTTGGCCTCTTTCGCAGAGCGACGTGGCGAAAGCTACGCTACCATGAGGGGCCGAATGCAGCAAGTGGTCAGGGCTTTTGCCGAATCGGAGGTCATGGGGAAGCAGGGCAAAAATCTCTGGTGTAACTGGAGTAAGTCGAAGCTAGAGCGGCTGCACAGTTCGCATGCTTCTTGGGTTAAGAGGAGTGTGGCTGAAGTGAATCCCGACAAGCTCGCGGACCTCGAGGTAGAATGGAACCAGGGCAACGTCTGGACAGCAGTTCACCTTGCAGCGAGCTCTGCGCTCCCTCCTCCTCCGGGAGGGGACCCGGCGGAGATTCTTGTCAGGGACGACTACGAGACCAAGGCATGGGTGGACTTGGGGGTTTTATCTCGGGACCTAAAGATGCCTCTTCAAAAGCTCAAAGATGTCTTCCAGAGTAACCTCTGATCTTCGGCGTCGCTGGCACAAGACGGACCGCACAACTCTGACACGAGCTTCAGGGTGTTCGGTTGGAACATTGGTGGCGCTGATTTTTCCTCCTTGCCGAAGGCAATCGAGATGTGCACTGGCAGTGGGCTTGGAAAAAGGGACCTACTTTTGATCCAGGAAGTTCCCAGAGCAAAGCAAGGGTGGTCTTCTGACAACATGATGGGATTCAAGCTAGTGACTCACAGAGCGGAAGGGATGTGGCGTGGGACCGGTGTGGCTTTTGACTCGACGGTGTGGAACGTTATTAGTAGACGGAGCACTCAACGAGGGGTATGGTACCACTTCAAGGCAATGCCTAGGCAGGCTGGGGCGATTATCCTCCAAGCGGACCTGAACAGCAGCTTTAGATGGTGGGCCGAGAGAGAAAGGGTTGAGGTCTCAGGGAAGGATGGCAAAGCAGACAGCTTCTACAGGTACTCGGTCGAAAGTGGGGTTGATTTCGTACCACCAGCACGGGGGCAATGGGAGACACCAACTAGTCGACCGAGGCAGGCTGGGAGACAGGGTAAGCAGATCGACTACCTGCTGTGCCGAGGCCTTCGGAGAGAGGGGTTGCACATCCATGCGGATTCTTACCATTCAATTGGGTCAGACCATGAACTCTTGGAGGGAAGATTCTTATTGAGGACGCAGAGAGTGGTTCCCAGAAGTAACACCAGACCCAGGGTGTGGACCGGATATACAGGGGTGATCAGTGACATGAACCAAAGGATCATCGAGGACATGGCCAAGAAGTGCACCAAGCCCAGACCAGGGACGGGGTACAGGGATCCCGAGGAAGTGAAGAGTGCCTTTAAGCAAGCGAAGCTGATGAAGACAAGGGAGACATGGAAGAGAGCTTTAGCTTTGCGCAAACAGGCCAGGAAGGTATGGGAGGCAGACCGGTTGAAGAGGGCAAGTGAGGGAGATTGGCAAGCCTTGAAGTCGTGTAGGCCTAAGAGGCACGCGGGATGGGATGATGCCTTTGCCTCGGCACAACAAGGGGATCCGCACCGAGCTGTACATGAACACCTTGCGGGGGTTTACCAGGGAAATCAACCAGTCAGTCAGGACTACAGGTACACCGGTGAGGTCAGGGCCTTCACACTCGAGGAGATGCGTGATGCACTCAGCATGCTTAAGTCCCAAAAGGCGGTGGGGAGTGACCTGACGTCCCGGGAGCTCCTGGTGGGGGTGATGGGGGTTCCTGGAGGGGAAGAGCACATGCTGGAGTGGTTCAACCGTACCCTCGTGAGTCAGGCTGTGCCGAAGGCGTGGAATGAGCCCCTGATTATCCTGATCCCGAAAGTCGAACTCCCGACGAGATGCAAGCAACTACGCCCGATCGCCATGGGGAGCGCAGTTGGGAAACTGTTCGCAAGAATGCTGCTCACAAGGACGGCATCGGCGCTAGCACCTCGTACCCCGGCGCAGTGTGCAGCACCTGGCAGGCAGACAGCCGACTACCTTTTTTGCATCCACAGAGTGTTCGAGCTGACCAGGGAGTGGGGTTCCCCCCTCTGTGCCGTCAAGGTAGATCTGAACAAGGCATGCGATTGCATTGACAGATCAGTGTTACTAGCACGGCTATCTGATCGGTTGGGACCGTGTGCAGAATTGGGGTGTTGGGCGGCCTTGATGACGGACATCACAGGAACCTTGCAAACACCGTGGGGGCTTTCACAGCTGCAGATGCCTTCGGGCATTAAGCAGGGGGCAACGGAAAGTCCATCCATGTTCAGCTTCATCGCCGAAATTGCTCTCGAGGAAACCCGAATCGCCAATTCATGGGGCAGTCGAGAGAAGCTTTTCGAAGGGATGGAGGATGAGGAGTGTTTGTACATGGATGATGGTTGTCTTTGGAATAAAGGGGTCCAAGGGATGGAAAGGAAGCTTGCAGAGTATGCCAAGCAGCTGCGCATGTACGGCCTGACCATCAACATCAGCAAGTGCCAGATGTACTGTGGACCTAGGTGCAAAGGTGCACGCTCCATTTGTGTGGAGGGACAGTCGTCACAGTGCTCTTCCCACCTCGAGGTGATGGGGTTGCAGTTCCATGTGGGGGTTACGGCCATGGAAATGGTTACGGCTTTGGCCACCAAGGCGAGAGGGAGGTTCTGGGAGATCCAACACGTCCTTAGATCAAAAGGGGGGCTAAGCAGAAGGATTTCTACCATGCAAAGGACGGCTGGCCAAGCTGCAATGTGGTGTCTGGGCGCTTTGGCGCCGGACTCCGGAGCAATGGGGTACCTAAACTCGGTCCAACTGCAACTCATAGTGTGGATGATGAGGATCTCCAGAGGACCCGGGGAAGATTGGGGGTCCTTCAGGCGCAGAGCATGGCGGGTGGCGCGAGCAGCCCTCTTTCGGTCACGAGAGGAAAGATGGTCTACCCTATGGTTGCGAAATTATTGGCGCTATTCGGGGCATCGGGCGAGAGGGGTGCATCGGGATCATCCAGCTTTGAGCTCGGTGTTTGACTCCTTCCGGACCAAAAAGTGGTGGGACCACGAGAAAGCCAACCCGTGGGGGATCAAACACGTGCACCACTACGCGAGGCTCATGATGACCGAAGCCAAGATGAACGATGCAGTCGAGGGTGAATGGCGAAGGGTTGCGCAGGACAGGGTTGCTTGGAGGAATGCGGAACAGAGATGGATCACCAGGGAGGACCTACCGTGGGCATCGGGCAGACAACCGACGATTGAGAATGGGAACTAGGAGGGCTCATACACCGGACAAAGTAATTCGGTTTTTGGGGCTGTACAGGGGCGCCTCGTTTTGAGTGTTTTGTGGTAGCCGGGTCTATGCTGTCGCTGTCTCGTGAAAGCTGTCTTGCATGGCCGGACTCGCAGCGATTGAAGTAGCCCTAGTTACTCTCGCCCATGCTCTGAGAGCAAACTCCACATGACTTTTCCATATATGCCGTATTTTGCCGCCTTGGCGGCGGTGGTCATCTGTGCCTTCGGGCGCCCAAAGGATGGCCCTTTCCATAACTCAGTGCTTTTGCGAAGCGCAGCACACCTACCTCGTAGCGATTCTCCGGACGGTGAATGCGGTGTGCGAGTGCTGAACCTCCATGTGGAGCCCAACTACACGATCAGGGATACGGAGGATCTGATGAGATGGCGAGCCGAGGCGCCAACCATTGCCCCGCATGTTTTCTGCGAAGCGGCGGACAACGTGAGCACAGCGACGGAGCCAATGGAGATGGCATCGCGCAAGGCTGAAGTCTCGCATTTGGAGTGGGAGCACCCTATCCTCGACCCAGTACCAACTATGGGAGCTGTACTTCCTCCTCATAATGATTCCCCGGACTGTGAATGCGGTGTGCGGGAGCAGGACCCCCGGGGAGAGCTCACGAACACGACCAGGGACATGATGAACGGGATGAATTGGGGACCCGGGGCGAGAATGCCCATCCCAATTGACTGGGACACTGCGGTGGAGTCAGAACCGGAAACAGTGGAGGTGGCCAACGTCATGTTTTTCCAAGGAGAGGCCTCGCAAATCCTGAGGTCGGATTGGGACTCACTTCAGGAAATCTTCTGGAGCTGGTTTGAAGAAGGCAGGGTGGTGGATCTGGCAGTCCGAATGGCTTTGGCCCAGATACAGGCTGCTGACGACGAGGAATTTCGATCCTGGGGGGTCGAGGTCATGCTTGAGTTCAGCTTTGGCATCCCCGGGTGCACAGGCACATCGCAGGACACCACGCCCCCGGTCTTCTTCCAATGGGCTCAGGCGATACACGAGTGCCTGAGAGGGATTTACTACGGTGGCACGAGTACGACTACTACCCCGGTGACAGCACAGCAAGCTCCCAGTGAGAACGAGGACCAATGGCTGCGAAGAGTGAGGCAGCTCTACATTCGGCTGAGGGCCGATGGTTTTGGCAGAGAGGCAAGAAACCGGCTGCGAGAACGGTGCCGAGCTTGTCCGGCGAATGTGCAGTCGGCAGCCTGGGAGACCTTGGGAACCATCTTGGACGACATGGACGAGGAGATGGATGCAGCCTACGACCGAGACCTTGTTGACGTGGAGAGCTGGGTTGAACTTGTCATTGAAGGGTGGGCTCAACGAACACCTGTGCAAGCATCTAGCAGCGTCGGCAATCTGCTGCCGCGCCACATCAGAGGCCCTGGTGTCAGTGAGGAGCTTCCCTTCGGTATTTTTCACGCCTCGCATGTCTGGTCAAATGGGTCTTGGTCGACGGCGGCGAATATGACCGCGATGGGGTATGATGGCTATGCCCCGGGAAATGCACAACGGCCGAGATCCTCCTCTAGGTCACCGAGAAGGGAACCTGGGGGGACCCAGGGAAATGATGGGGATGGTGGAGATGGTGGGGATGGCGCATCCTTGATGACCGTCAGACCCTTTGTCTTTGCGATGGTGGCAGCCAAGGCGGTTGACGAGGAGATCATCGGGAATGGACCGCTCTGGTATCAACACATCCGTGCGGAAGGACTCGCACTCATTCGCAGAGGGGCTGATGCAGATGAGGCATCCCGGCACTTGGTCCAAGCTCTACATGGACGGCAAGATGACCGGTTCGCCCGAGACGCGTTTAAGTGGGTTAATGGGGTGTGCCGAGCTATGACAGAGGAAGCTGAGCTCCGATGGGAAGTTCCACGTGATGGGCCCCCGACACAACAGGACCTGACGACTTGGAGCCTTGATGCGATCGACCTTCTACGTCATCATTGGTTCCGTCAGGTGTGCCCGATCGCGGTATGGAATCGGGAGCTCGAGCGGGACCTGACGGAAGATGGCCATGTGGACTGCCGCTGCCCTGCTGAGATGTATGCTGATGAGGCAAGGGAACGAAGGCGACTGGACTGGTCGCGATCTCGCACGCCACAGAGACGATTCCCGGGGCCGCGCCGAACCGCGGAGGGCACCCAGGACACTGATGACACGGGTCTCATGGACACTGGAAGAAGGACCAGGCGTGGAGGGCGGGATGACTCCAGACCAAGAGACGATTGGCGAGGAGGCGACTGGGACGACTGGGGTGGTGACAGGGTGCCACCACCGGGGTCCACCCAAGATGGCTGACAAGATCTCGTAGCCCGCGTACCAGTCCAAGACGAGCCAAAGCCAAAGCAAGACCGAAGCAGAGAGTTTGTGTGACAACGGAGACCAGAAGGTTGACACCTCCGCCGAGGCCGACCAGCACAGGATCAAGGCCGGGAGAGGCTAGTGAGGGATCCCGACCAAGCAGGCCCGACAGAGGCACCAGCTCCGAGAGACTACGTGAGGCACAGGCAGTCGATGCCTGGAGGTTCCTGTTAGGGGTGGATGCTGAAAGTTTCGAAGATAATGTCGATGTCGTTGCTGCCGGCTCCCCGCTGCTCCCCCAGCACTCCACCGAAATGATCACGGAGACGGTGGCCAACTACGATGCCGCGGACCGGACCATGCTCACCATCGCCTTCGTCAGGTTCATACGAATGCTCATGCTGGAAGTCACACAAGCCTTTGAACGTGGTGTCGAAGCGGGTGATGCTCGCAACCGTAATGAGGTCCTTGTTGACGTGGCGGTTGAAGAAGAAGAGGATGCCGAGGAGGAGGCAGGCGATGACACACACCTCATGCAGCGGACGATGACAGGCATTGTCAAGGGCACGATGCATGCAAGTGCGCAGGAGGACCGGGAACACTGGCTAGCTCGTCTTCGAACACTACAAGACTCTCTGGCCAGCCAATCTGCTGCCCTTCGCACGGCGAACTCCGAGGGCATGCTCGCCAGGCTCAGCAGAGACCGTGGGGTGAGTGCCACGGCGCGCGAAGAGCTTGAGGCCCTACTGGTAGGCATGCAGGAACCTGCATGTGGTGACATCATGGCGGGTGACATCGCTTGGCAACTGCAATGGTGGACTCGTCTCTTTGGTGCAGCCGGGTCTGATGCAGCAACCGGATCCACGGACCCGATGCCAACGACAACTGTTGAAAGTTGCGACGTGCCAGGGGACAAGGAGATTGAACAGTTGGCGAGTGACGAAGCGGAGGCCAGGCAAGATGCGGAACGTGAAAGGCGCTTGCGTGAGCACCAACAGATGGAACAGGAGAAGTACGAGGATGAATATGACCAGCACTACGCGAAACTCCAGGAGGACCACGTGAACCAGAGTCGCATGACCGCTCAACAGTACAAGCAGTGGGAGGACTGGGAGTGGAACGAGGTGATGCAGGGACCACCTCAAAAGAGGCGTCGGGCGGCCTTGCACTTTGAAATTGGGGGAGCTTCGGAGGTAGGGGCTCCCTGGGTGTCCAGGTCGCTGAGGGTGCCCTGTGGTCGTGGAGGAGCTCTTCCTAGCCTACGCCTCGACCTACAACTTCAGTGGGAGGATTGCCCGGACGACGTCGAGACAGTTCGTGTATCTCCACCTGAGTTGCCTGCTGACAAACCGGAGCCAGAGACAACTGAACCTACTGTGGCTGTGGCAGCACCCACACCCCCTGGTGGACCGGAGACCCCGGCCGAAGATGACCTGGTTGTTGAAAGGCGAGATCCAGAAGAACCTGGTGAGGCCAAAAATGTGCAGGACCAGGACACGCAGTTGGATGTGGAGCTGACAGTTGCATCTGGAGGAGGAGTACAAGGCTTGCAAGGCTTGGAGTTCAGCGATTATGAACGACTCTATGATAGGTGGCGACGGGGTACCATCTCGGATGCTGAGGTTGTCTCCATAGGTGGTGGTGATCTTCTTGAGCTCATGGAGGCACAGATGGCAGTGGATGGTGAGGGAGAGGAAAACACACAACAGCTTCTGGGTGGAGGACGTACTACCACGAGTACATCTGTCAGGATGCAGGGACAGGGCAATGACGTGGCGAGCACGGAATGACATGGTAGAGTACACGAAGCACTGAGTTTGGGCACCAAGAGAATTTCTGAGTCGGGGCTTTCGTTTTGTTTGTCGTATGTGTAACAATTGCACGTACAGCTCTCCTCGAAAGAGGATTCTTGAGCTCAGACTTCGAGCAGACGGAAAAGAGCCCTTAAAAAAAAAACAACCCTAAACCCTAAACCCTAGTAGTAGCCCCGAAAAGGTAGCCTCTTCTGTACAATTACGTGGAGACCCAGAGATCCAAATACCCCTTTAAGGGTTTAGGGTTTAGGGTTTAGGGTTTAGGGTTTAGGGTTTAGGGTATACCCCTTAATTCAGGGTTTAGGGTTTAGGGGTTTAAAAACCCTAGACCCTAAACCGTGGGACCTAGATCTTAGATTTTTCACTGACCCCTAAACCCCACAGCCCCTAATATGAAAGCCTAAATAATTACCAATATAATTCTTTAATGTTAATTTCTATAATTATAGTAGCACGGAGCTCAAAACCCTATTCTAATTATTGAGGCCCCTATATTAGGTTGAAGGAGCCTGGTTTCCTGCAACCGAAAACCTCAAAGAAAAGAGTAGCAGATGTCCGGGCAGGGTGAGTAGAGAAGCCTAATCATTACACACCGCATCCGCTTGAGTTCTTTACTATAAACATACAAGGACGGCATAATATACCCCCCTTCCAAAAAGACAGTCTAATCGTTTAGATTTAGGCTCCTAAACTAGGGTTTAAGACATCCGCGTGAAAGTTGCAGTGCCTCGTTCTTCTGGGATTAGTTCTTTTGAGGTCGGCGTCTTGGCGTTGTCTTTTGGCACTCAGGCTTCTTGCCTCTTCTGGCCCTTGAACCTAGCCTTCCTCTGGTGATACTGCTTGATACTGTACCTACCTGCTAATGCTACACTCTTTGCTGTACAAATAAAAAGCTGTTAGAGCAAGAAGGTGGCACAACAGACGTGCAGCCAGAGACGACGGCGCCAGAGACGCAGCACGAACCAGACCAGTACAAAGACCAAGAGTACTGAGACTACAGCACCAGAGAATGCTGGGTCTGGGAAGACGGAAAGTGGAAGAAGACGTGGCCAGTAAGGGGCACCTGGGGAGAACGCAGAGGCTACCAGTAGCCAGAACGGCATGAACAAGGAGGTCATCGAGAACTACTACACGTAGTGAGTTGCCCTGTGTATTTGTACAGTGGAGAAGCCAAGTACCGCGAAGTGTTTTGCAACAAGAGCTGCATAGTAGGCTGCGCACCACGGCTTTGCACGTTTCCGTAAATTAGTTTGTAGCAAGAAAGCACACAACGAGCACACCCAAAAAATCCCTCAAATCCGTACACCTTTTTAGATGTGACTGAAATTGGCACATGGTACCACTGCTCAAACGAATATGATATATATATATATATAGACGGCTCAAAGTGTAAACCGGAATAGAGCGCTCTCTCTCTCTCTCTTTCTGTCCGTTGGTTTAGTTTCTGGTGTCTATCTGACTGTCCATTTCTCTGCTTGTCTGTCTGTTCAGCCTCAGGGTACGACTTAAGCTCTATTCCATTAAACCCTAAACCCTTAAACCATAAACCCCAAACCTAAACCCTAAACCCTAAACCCCTAAACCCAAAATCCTAAACCCCTAAAACCCTTAAACCCTAAACCCTTAAACCCATACCCTTAAACCCGAAACCCTAAACCCTTCAACCCTTAGCCCGTAAACCCCTAAACCCCAAACCCCAAACCCTAAACCCTAAACCCCTAAACCCTTCAACCCTTCGACCCTGGATTTCTTACTCAACTGGGCTTTGGAGTACCATGCTTTAATACTATTCTTTTGGGACTTGTTCCTTACAGGAACCATTAACAACTAAAAGTCTATATCTTTTTTCCCCTGGTTGCTTCAAAGCCCAGTCAATAAACCCTTCAACCCTATAGTCCCTAAACCCTAAACCCTAAACCCTAAACCCTAAACCCTAAACCCTAAACCCTAAACCCTAAACCCTAAACCCTCAACCTTAAGAACCCCAAACCCACTTTTTTGTAGGTTCTTATTATAAGCCAACCCTTAAACCCTAAACCCTTAAGCCCTAAACCCTAAACCCTTCAACCCCTAAACCCTTAAACCCGAAACCCTAAACAAGGACCCTGGGTTCTCAAGGAAAGGGTCTTGGGCTCTCTGGGTCCGGAGCCAGGCGGCGTGATGACGCCGGAGGCAGCGCTGGAGCTGGCCAGGAGTGGTGAGAGGTTGAGGGCTCCTTTAGAGGGTTCTAGGGTTTAGGGTTTAGGATTCAGGGCTTTCAGGGTTTATAGGGTTTATAGGGTTTATAGGGTTTATAGGGTTTATAGGGTTTAGGGTTTAGGGGGTCCTTTAAAGGGTTCCTTTAGAGGGGTCCTTTCAAGGGTTCAGGGTTTAGGGTTTAGGGGTTCCTTTAAAGGGTTCCTTTAGACGGTTCCTTTAAGGTTTCCTTAAAGGTTTCTATAAGGTCTGCTTTGGCCTGAAAGGTAGGGGCCTCAGAGATGAACTAAAGGAAACTACAGGTGGGGAGTTCAGGGAAAGAGGCTTCTTACAAGGCTCCTATTGCGGGGTAAAAAGGCTTCCATAAGGTATGTAGACCTTCTATAAAGGCTCCCATAACGGTAACTACCCACCTGAAAATGTCCTCGACTTAAAACCCCAAACCCTAAACCCTAAGAGATTAACCAACAATTCCTAACCTAAAATCCAAGGTTGGAAGTATGGGCCCGGCCTAAGAAAGACATTGTCAGGGTTGCACTGATCGAAGTCCCTTTGACAAAGAGAGAAGAACGACCGGCGAAGCTGCCTTCTTTGAGGGCCTTCCTTTTCTGTGTAGGGCTTTGAGTTTAGGCTTGTAGGGTGTAGGGTTTAGGGTTTTGGGGTGTAGGGTTTTAGGGTTTTAGGGTGTAGGGTTTAGGGTTTTAAGTTTAGGAACACCTTGACCCGGAATGACTTGCCTTTGCAGAGTTCTTTATTCATGATTTCCGTATATAAGTCCTTAAAGAGGTAGGTTTTTTAAGGGTAGGGTTTAGTCTAGGACATTTCTATCTACCTTATAGAAACCTCATAGAAGCCTTACATACCCTAAACTCCCCACCTGTAGTTTCATTAGTTTCTAAACCCTAAACCCTAAACCCTAAACCCTAAACCCTAAACCCTAAACCCTAAACCCTAGGGCTTCGTTTACCTTCCCGGACTTAGGCCCGAAATCGTAAACCTGCGAGCAACCAAGCCACTGAAGCCTTGGTGCACGCCTCCACGCACCCTACTATAGGGGCCTAAATAATTACCTATACTATGTTGAGGGGTCCTTCTTATAGTTATAGTACAATGGGCCCCGAAGCCTTATTATGATTATTAAGGCCCCCACATTAACCAACAAGGTTAAATTTCATCATAGAGTTGTCTGATAGTGGCAAGAGTCACAGTAGCAATGACGGTTGTAGTTGCAATCTGCTTGTTGTTGTCAACAACGATTTTGATTTTAGGCGGCATCATGAGGAACTGTGGTCATCCTTGGTTTAGGGTTTGGGGTTTAGGATTTAGGGTTTAGGTTGTCACTACCACTTTCAGCCTCAGCATTAGACAAACAGTGCTCCCGATGGCTAATTACCTGCATTGTCATAGCCATACAATTTCCACATTTCTCAGTATAACCGCCAACAGCAACACCCTAACCCTAAACCCCGAAACCCTAAACCTAAGCTGGTAACCCTACCCGCTGCATTTGGCTCTCAGTAGACCGAGTTTTGATTCCGCCGTCCCTTTGCCGTGCCTTCGACCATGAGCCTTTCTAGAATGATGCGAGCTCCTTGGCCGACAGGCAATGTGGGTAGTTCTCTAAATCATGGTTCCGTTGTAAGCCCCCAATATAGTACGTCACCCCTGCAAAAAGGACCCGAGAAGGTGCCCTCATTTAGAGAACTACCCTTGTCAACAAAGGGTCCTACTATAGGGGCCTCAATAATTACCTATACTATCTTTTGGGGGTTCGACTCCTTAGTAGCATAATAGTATAATATACCACAAGACCCGATTCTAATGATTAAGGCCTCTACATTAGGTCAGGTATTGTTATGAGGCCATACATTCTGCTATGTCGAGTTTAGGATTTTAGGGTTTAGGGTTTAGGATGGTTTGTACCCACACCCTTAAATGTAGTCCTTGTTTTTTGGTTACCGTAGTGATGTCGCGGCTCGCAGTCAGTCAGCACTGCCACTCCAAAGCCGGAATTCAAGCATCATGGACTTAGTTATGGGCTTATTCAGCAGGCAGGCGTGGACATGGCGAAAAAGGGTGCCGATACCCCAAACCCTGAGGCTCAAAATAGCCCAAAAGCATCCAAAAGCCCTACGTAGCATGGTCTTGGGGCCCAAAAGCCTCAGAATATGAGCTCTCAGGGAAAACCGAAGTACTGCTTACCTGCGAAGACCACCGGGCCTCCGCTACTTCATCTCTAAGCCGTTTAGGGTTTAGGGTTTAGGGTTTAGGGGACTCTAAGCCCTGCAAGGCTTCGGCTTGACACGGGGTTACACCCTACTTAGAAGATCTTGGGACTTAGTAAGTAGGGTTATAAGTACCTTAATTGGGGTTATGAGTAGATCTAGCTATAGCTAC